ATATATATATATATATATATATATATATATATATATATATATATATATATACACATTTTTTTTCAGGTGTTAAGAAAAACACTAAAACATTGCATAGTATAACAAATATGGTAACTCCATACAAACGCAGCAGCTTGGCTTGTATGCGCGACACACATATTTGCATAATCCCGCAATGCATTCGCAGTGCATAGCGCTAGTCGTCACATGCATCTTTCATTATTCTGCGAATGTGTGCATCCGCATAATACGCGCGGCGGGTGTGCACACATACAAGCCGCGCTGTTAGGTTTGTATCGAGTTACCATATTTGTATAAGTATACAATGAACTTTACTATGCTAATTTTCAACGTCTTTTTTCGCTTTAACTTGAAAGTTAGCAGGTAAATTACTGTAGAGTTTGACAGCTCAACACCACGAGTAGAAGTAGTCAGTAGGTATGACATCCTATTTCAAAATAACATGAATAACATATGCACAGAAAGGCACGGAATTCACTTTAATTGTAAGAAATAGTTATTTAAAATATGGTAAATAAGAAACAAAGAAGCCGAAACATTATTAACATAACATAATATTTGCCACACTGGTTTTACGTCAGTCCAATTAAAATTTCAAGTCTAGTCTAGGTAGAAGCGTAAAGGGTGTAAGTCCATAGTTTTATTCCGACTCTGTGGGAGATAGGCGTGATGGTATGTATCTAAATATTTAAAGAAAAATAAAGCACAAACTATAAAGATTTTAAACTCAGCTGCATGATTTGCTCAACTTGGCTGCGTTACAATTTTTATCATTTTTCTTTAAAACCAATTTTTATTACTACTTTAGCGGCCAAATACCAAAGTTAATTTTTATTTAGGAAAAGAAACTATTTTTCCGGATTTAAATCGCATATATTTGTTTTTTCAAACAAACCAACGTTTTGGGCTCTTTACAGGTCACACGGTCACGGTTAACTGAGGTGACTGTTGACTGTTTGGGATTTTTCATCATAGGAAACACTGGATCCCAAATTGGTGGTACGGAGAAACCATCTTCGCAGTTGAAATAAGTATATTTTTTAAATTTCAATGTCCTCTTACAGCATCCTGGGTAGATAACGGACTTCTTTTGCAAGGACGGAAGGAAGGAAGATAAAGATTAATTTATTTCGTTATAACGTAATCTAATTAAAGTAAAACAAATGTAGAGTAAGTTATAATAATATTAAAAAGGAATCAATGTAATCTTTATACAGCTATATAATTATATCTTAGAACTTAATAGTGCACTTGCAATACTTGAACTAGGTAAATAAGTACGTTTATTTTAGGCATTACAATGAAATATAATCGTTTCTTTCATATTATCTTTACATTGACTGCCGCCGTGGCCGAACGGTTACCAAGCCGGGCTGTCACGCACAGGTCCTGGGTTCGATTCCCGTGCCGGGGGAAATATTTGTATGGTCTACATTTATTTATCTCGTGAGTTTGTATGTAATTTGTGGTTGTCTGTGTGTGTGTCCATGGCACTCGCGATACAAGGTTTCCCTAAGCGGGGTTATGAGTACGTGGGGATAATTTAGTAAACATTATAATTTTCATTACAGTAAACAATTATAATCAATGTTAAAGCAACACAACGAAAAATAAACATTTTTATAAAAAATCGATCTCAAAAGTTTGTGAAATTACATCATTTTCCTTGCCTAAGGTTTATTGAAATCACTTAACGGAAAGTGGGTGAAATCCAATAAAGCGGATTCATCCCTTAATTTGTCTTAATTTTCTTCGAATTTGAATGTGGCCACTATTGAGGCATCCCTATTCTAAAAAAAAATCATCAAAATCGGTTCACATAGCGTCAAATTGAGAACCTCCTCCTTTTATTGAAGTCATTTAAAAATTATAATTGTGTCAAACGTGTGGCACTTTATAATGAGACAAGTAAATGTACTTGATTCATAACGATGATATTGTTATCACGCACATGGTATTGTTTACATTTCTTATCTACATTCTACACGTTATTGTATAATTTTATGGCATTTATGTGTCAAAAGAGCAGTGTTTGTTTACTTAAATTGTGTAAATTATATTATTTTATCAATGATTTATTACGTAACGAAGCCACTAATTATCTTATAATAATTTAATAGGCTTATCTTTATCGCTACTATGTACGTACAAAAATTTTTGTTTGTTTAGCTTGAATGAGGTCTATTGAAATAAGACAAAAATTTAAGAAATAACTTTCTCATAAGTACCTACATATTATATTTATGGAAAGTATTATAATTGCGTATGTTTTTATAATTTTTTGTGTAACTGAATTTCAAAGTAAAACACTAACGATTTTAAATCACAATATTGCTACCCAGGTTGTTCGAGTGAATATAACGACCCATTAGCACTGTCAAACAATTTGCACTGATTTTTTTTTCTTTTCAGATTTTGTGTATTCTTCGAAGAGAAAAAAATATATGTTCATAATCGAATATTGAATGCAGTTATCATAATTGGTTATTGTGCGTGAAATTGTAGTAAATATCGTGTGACCTCTTCCTAAGCTAATCTATGTAAGTGAGCGCCGCGTGTCTGGGCGGGCGGGTGTCGCGGGGAGGGGGCGCGATTGGCCCAGCGCACCTCAAGCCTCCAGTTTGCCGGCGGCCGCGACGCCGGACGCACGTCGTTAGCCCTAACGCTGATTCCCTGAACCGCGTGTTGATATACCGTACAATAAATAAAACAAAAACCGTGTGTGAAAATTCCCTTTTTGACAGTGTTTTGTTAATTAACCGTGACGTCAACGCTTCTACCTTTTCTCACTGTTAATATCGGACACTGATGTAAAAGCTTGTTGTACAGAAAATTTCAGCCAGAGTAAGTTATATCTATTAGAGGTTACAGTGTTTGCTATCGCTTACTGAACATTTTGCTTTTTCACCTTAGCCTTGTTGTGTTATTCAATTACCGATCCTTTGCTATATGTAGTTAGTTTGCTTTATTGACTACGACATTTACAATAACATTTGCGTTGCTAAGCGTGATAATAAAATGTAAGAATATTTTCGGCAATTTTGTAAATGATTTGAACCATTTTTTTCCGCGTAATAATTTACGTATCGCTGATATCAATAACTCTTCTATTTTTTTATCTGTCCGTCTTATTTCATAATTATTAATATTTACATAAGAATATAATAATAATATAAAATCAACATCGATGAAATTGTTTTGACTAAAGGTTGTGGAATTACAAAGACGAGGGATTTTGTAGATTTTGTTGAATTAATTCAATGTAGAGATAAAATGAAAACATCGTGAGACGAACCAATGAAGATAAGGATGAATATCTATTTGAACCGTTCGGATATTGTTGAAAGTAATGAATGATTTTGAAACTTAAGACTTTTTTGTTTTTATATTACGGGGTGCACGTCATTGCCTTCAATAAACAAAACGGTAGTATGAAGAAGTACTTTTGAACTTACTTAGATTATGTTATCGTAACTGTATAAATGTGTTTTGTTTTACTTGTTTAATTTATTTACAGGTAAGATATAAAAGTACAACAAAAGCCTAAATACTAGAAACTATAACTGGAATTACATTGTATGAAAATAATCTCAGTACAGAGAACTAAAAAACCGATCTCAAAGGTCATCCATCCCCTAGTTTGCCACCCTTAGAGGTGGAATATGTTTTTATTTAAATAGGACCACTACTGAGATAATCTCTTTAAAAAAAACATCAAAATCGGTTCACAAACGAGTTATCGTATAACACAAATACAAAGAAAAACATACAATCGTATTGAGAATCTCCTCCTTTTTTGAAGTTAAAAATTGAATCTTCATGGCAAGGTGTCCAACATGGTGGCAGCGTTCCCCCTTTGTACAGCTATGCTAATACGTTGGGCAGGGTAGCTGCCGGCCCCTGGGTTTCCCAGACAGTCTTTACATTTTTTTAATAAAATTTTGTAAAGATGAAGGGCACCGGAACACCTTGGGCTTAAGGGTTTAGATTCCAAGGGGTGCAAATAGGTACTCGGAGCCGAGGTTACTTATCACTCTTTTCTACCAGCTCAGCTGCGGAGCCAGTCCTCTTGCTGGTGTGCTGGAGACGGGATTGGCCAATTTCTATTACTTTACTAAAATACATTTGCAATTTTGTTCCCTAATAAATTAGTTTTTTTACATTTTCTAATGAAAACGAGCACTAGTATGAGCGAAAAGGAGCACGAGTCGGTTAAAAATATAAAAAAAATGATTTTCTTTATGAATACCATAACATCGTGACCTACTTATGACTTACTATAATTCTAAAGTGTATAATAATAACAAGTACAGAAACATGCTTAGAGATCGTATAATTCATAGAAGTTGACATTTCATGAGAATTCGTAATTTCGTTATTACAACTAAAAAATAATATATTCCACTAAACAGAGACTATGATCATAAGCTTGCTACGTGTCTGATCCTACCTTTTTCGTTTTCTTCACATGCATCACGCTTTTCATACCTTCACGTTTGTTCAGTATGCCATTTTTAAAGACTGGCTTAAACTGAATTAAATTACATCGCAATTCTAAATAAAAAAATTGGCATTTAAACTAGGATTCTATATTAAATTCATGTTATTTCTTTCAAATAAGCCACATCATTCCGTTTGGAACAAAAAATATTAAATATTAATAAAATATGTAATAAGTTTCAATTTATAGCAACCTTAGATATATTAATGGTATTATCATATATAGTTTAGTTAGGCAAAAAAACTCGGTGCAATTTACAGCAACAAGATTAATTTTTTTAGACTTTAAATTATCCATACGTATTTCACATTCATTATTAAACACGTGTGAACATATCTATTTAATCAATATTCAGTAAGTACGCCATATATTTACAAGTTTAAAAAAATAATTAATCTTATTGCAGTAAATTCAAAATGATTGTATTTTTTTTATCAATATTTAGATTTTCAAACAGGATTTGGCTTTTGTCTAATTAAAGAGAGAAATCAAGTGAATTTAATTTTGAATCCCAATTTGAGTCTTCATTTTTAATTTGAATACCAATTAAAATCTCAATTCTTAATTCAATTTGAATAAAATGTCTTTAAAAAATGGCTACGGCAAAAGAAGAAAACTAAATATGCGTGTATTGAAAAGCAAAATGCGAGTCGAGAAGTGAATGATATATATCAGGAACGTAGCAAAATAATGCCTAATCTAATGTATTTTTAATCCTTTTTTTCCTTAATGAATGGCTTGTGAGACTACTTACTCTCAATTCTGCCAGTGTCCGTTTTCTAGTTTCATAAACGTTATGGAGGATCTGTTAGAAATTTGTTCGGGGACTCAGAGGGAGAATCGAAGTGATTTTTGAACAAATTTTGAATCCTTATTATAAAATTAGACAAATTAGGGAACCTCATTACAAATAAAAATATACCTACCTACTTATGTAAATTCAATGGCAGCTTCAACGTTGATTCAAAGTTGTTATTATAACTTGAGTAGAATTCAAATATTATTAATAATAACTTAACAACATTGCATAATGCCGTCCCAAATAGTATGACCCACAGGCATATATCTAGATAAACGCCTCAAGTGTACGTACTTCGTGTGCCCAAAGTAAGTGAAATTTACTTAGTTGCCGCTGGTACACTACAGATTGTACTCGGCCGTTACACGAAAACGCGAAAAATGCATAATTGTGCCATTATAAACTGCAAAAGTACCATAACTGTGGGTACACGGGTAAACAGGGACGTTTCCTTCCAGGGGCAAGTGATTTTGTAATCAGAAGATGCATAATTTATTTTAATAACAATTATTTTGGTTTTGTATGAATTTTGAGAAAACAAATATGCAACCGAGTGTATGCCTCATTATTTGTAATACATTGCGGCTTTTACTTGGTGCAATATATTTCCGATCCTTTGTTAATACGCCATAAATATCGAACGAACGCACTTGTGTATAATGCATTCAGTTTGTACATTTCTTTGCCCAAATTTAGCATTTAGTGTTTTTTGTGTTGTATACGTTAGGCAACACTGTTCCCGATTCTGATCGATTTTGTAAACAAAGGGACAAAAATTATTACGACCTCAGAAATATTACAAAAATATTCTATAACTCTTTGGTTGTGTCGTTTAGTAAAGTTTAGTTTTTTTTTTCAGTTTGTAGCATCTATTATCAGGGGCCTTACCATGAACTCTTATTACGATTCAGTTTAGGACCTAAAATGAATCGTTGCGAGACAGCGCTCCGTGAAGTGTATATCACCATCCCGCTTTTTTGTCGTTACGTACCTATACTCAACTGTAATAAGAGTTCATGGTAAGGCCCCTGTAGTATCTGTAATTCCGATAATTTTTGCAGCATGTCGCCTCGAATGTCCGAATATAGTGAGCAAATAATTACATACATCGCCGGATATGTAGTACGAGTAATACAAAAAAATATATAATGCAAAGAATTAACAGTGCATTGTCTTTACAAAAACCTAGAGTTGGTCATACCTATGAGTTCGTTGCTTTCGAGGATGAAGATGGTCTAGTTTATTCCACTTAAGATGCAGAAATAATAAACAAATCACAAAAATGACACACGAGGCCGTGATTAAGTAAACCTCTTCTGATTAATAAGATTTTACCATATTTGGTCAACAGTAACATTTTCATTCGTCTTGCCATTCATCAATTTGATCAATTACCAAAAGAAAACCATCTAGTAAAATTAATTAAGGCAGTCGCAAGTTCATATATTGACGTGCGTTTTCATTATTTACTTTAATCGATAAGATCTTCTATTACAAAAAAATGTTATATAACAAGCTCATGGTATTATAAGGACAATAATTTTAATATTTGAAGTCGATTAAAAATTAAAATCTTATTTTTTTTAAGTAATCAAAATTTTTTTACTAAACTAAACCAACTAAACTATCTTATTCTAGTATTTTTGTACTATATTAATATTACGATTACTTGTAATCAACAAATACTTGAACAAAAATTATTCTATTTAGAATCGATTAATTGTAAGTAATACGCGTGTTTTCGCGTTCAATCAATCGATTTAGAACAAGCGGAAGGAGGTTTCCATCACTAAATAGTTTTTGTGACGTCATAGTGGGTACAAAAAATGTGGCACACTCGGTTTTCATACAATTTGCTGTACTTGCGGTGTCTATCTAGATATATATCTGTGGTATGACCCCAAGTATATCCACGTTTTAAAGGTCGGTTTGGAGGGGTACAGTAATAAATGGAAGTACATTGTTTATTGAATTGACCAGTTCAAAGATGGTGCAAAAATTTTCAAACATGTCAAATAACGTAAAAGAAGTACCTTTCCTTAAAATTACGTATAACTCATATAAAATGTACGTAAAGGAAACTCCATACATTATGACGATTGGAATTATGTTGTTGATAAATTACAAAGTCTAATTAATATACAGGATGTCATACAGAGATGATATTAATTTCAGCGCCAAAGAATGAGAAAACACAACTTTAAAATGTTTCCGTTGTTCCATGGCAGTAAGAGTGAAAGATCCGGTAAGTGTACCAAAAGGTACATAAAATGGATCTAAATAATTCATGAAAAGTTCATTTTACAAAAAAGTACCGTGATCGTCTACGTTGGAAACGAAGTGACCTGTTGTACTAAAATCTTGAACTAATTATGCAATTAACGGTGATTATGATCTTTTTTTCCTTATTCTATTGCAATATCTATTAAGCAATTTTGAAAAGAATCTTAACCGACTTGTATTTCCGTTCCATCAATCAAGATAATAATTTCCTTCGGCATGGGCTTTGACATCCTAATCATCTCTTGTAAACGTTACGCTTTT